CAAAATGGCAGCCAGCTCATTAAATATGCCGAAATTTCAGAAAATCAGTGTGGCTAAACCAGACTGGTTCAGAACACTCAGCTTTGACACACATGTGGAACGGAGCTTTGGGCCAAGAGACACTTTTGGACCATCCTGTAAAGACGTTTTCGAGAGGTAAGAAGATGATATATGTTAGCATTGGCTAATTCTTATTCCCGGTCCACCCCCACAGGCCTGGGGTGGTATTGCAGCATGTCAGCGCACGTCATTTTGGCCACTTTTGAGCCGGGACCCGCCCCCACTGGTCTCTCTCTGGTCTCTCTCTCTCTAGTTTCTCTCTAGTCTCACTCTGGTCTCTCTCTGGTCTCTCTCTGGTCTCTCTCTGGTCTCTTTCTGGTCTCTCTCTGGTCTCTCTCTAGTCTCTCTCTGATCTCTCTCTGGTCTTTCTCTGGTCCCTTGCTCTCTAGTCTCTCATAGTCTCTCTCTGTCTCCCTCTAGTCTCCCTCTGGTCTCTCTCTCAATCAAGTTTCTCTCTAGTCTCTCTCTGGTCTCTCTCTAGTCTCTCTCTGGTCTCTCTCTGGTCTCTCTCTCTGGTCTCTCTCTGATCTTTCTCTGATCTCTCTCTGGTCTCTCTCTGGTCTCTCTCTGGTCTCTCTCTGGTCTCTCTCTCTGGTCTCTCTCTGGCCTCTCTCTGTCTCCCTCTAGTCTCCCTCTGGTCTCCCTCAGTCTCTCTCTGGTCTCTTTCTGTCTCTCTCTAGTCTCTCTCTAGTCTCCCTCTGGTCTCTCTCTGGTCTCCCTCTGGTCTCCCTCAGTCTCTCTCTGGTCTCTCCCCTCTAGTCTCTCTCTGTCTCTCTCTAGTCTCTCTCTAGTCTCTCTCTAGTCTCCCTCTGGTCTCTCTCTAGTCTCCCTCTGGTCTCTCTCTGTCTCTCTCTAGTCTCTCTCTAGTCTCCCTCTGGTCTCTCTCTAGTCTCCCTCTGGTCTCCCTCTGGTCTCCCTCTGGTCTCTCTCTGTCTCTCTCTAGTCTCTCTCTAGTCTCCCTCTGGTCTCTCTCTAGTCTCCCTCTGGTCTCCCTCTAGTCTCTCTCTAGTCTCTCTCTAGTCTCCCTCTGGTCTCTCTCTAGTCTCCCTCTGGTCTCTCTCTAGTCTCTCTATAGTCTCTCTCTGGTCTCTCTCTGGTCTCTCTCTAGTCTCCCTCTGGTCTCTCTCTAGTCTCTCTATAGTCTCTCTCTGGTCTCTCTCTGGTCTCTCTCTAGTCTCCCTCTGGTCTCCCTCTGGTCTCTCTCTGGTATCAAAACTCTGGCTCACTATCTCCAGATCTAGTTTCAGTCCATCGCCACGGTTACAGTTCCATCTCACACAAGCGATAAGTGCGACTGTGGCCTATTTTAAGTCTCGGTGTTGTGAACGCGGACCCTGACGGCGAGGGCGGAGCCGAGAGGAGCTCGCCATCCCTCCGTTAAGCCTGGCTGACTCATTCTTGCTGCTAATTTGCGTTTGGTTAATTAACTAATTACTGGATGTCTGAGGGCGAGCCTGTCTGTCAGCTTGTATCAGTAATTATTTTCATCGTTTTAATTAGACTCACACTTCTGCCCTCTTACCACACACACACACACACACACGCACACACACATACACACACACACACACACACACACACACACAGAAACTAAAACGTACTAAAATCACTTCATGATAAGAGTTTGGGGAGCCGACGGTGGAATGCAGGGCTCTCACAAACTTATTCTATTTTGAAACAACTCCCAACGAAGTCTGGTTCCAGGTCTGGGTGAGGTTTCTAGTCCAGGAGGTCCTCGATTGGTCCAAATATTGTCCGATCATTATTATTCAGGGATCTGGGACAGCAGGCATCAGTGGGAGCAGGTGAAATGAGTCTCTCTCTGGTCTCTCTCTAGTCCCTCTCTTCTCTCTTAGGTCTCTCTGGTCTCTCTCTGGTCTCTCTATAATCTCTCTGGTCTCTGTCTGGTCTCTATGGTCTTGTCTTTCTGGTTTCTCAAATTGTTCTCTCTATGGTCTCTATGGTCTAGTCTCCCTGGTCTCTCCCTGGATCCATCCCCTCGTCCTCTTCTCTCTGGTCTCTCTCTTGTCTCTCTCTGGTCTCTCTCTCTGGTCTCTCTCTGGTCTCTCTCTGGTCTCTCCCTCTCTCCCTGGTCTCTCTCTGGTTCCATCCCCTCGTCCTCTTCTCTCTGGTCTCTCTCTCTTGTCTCTCTCTGGTCTCTCTTTCTTGTCTCTCTCTGGTCTCTCTCTCTGGTCTCTCTCTGGTCTCTCTCTGGTCTCTCTCTCTGGTCTCTCTCTGGTCTCTCTCTTGTCTCTCTCTCTGGTCTCTCTCTTGGTCTCTCTCTGGTCTCTCTCTGGTCTCTCTCTCTTGTCTCTCTCTGGTCTCTCTCTGGTCTCTCTCTCTTGTCTCTCTCTGGTCTCTCTTTCTTGTCTCTCTCTGGTCTCTCTCTGGTCTCTCTCTGGTCTCTCTCTCTGGTCTCTCTCTGGTCTCTCTCTTGTCTCTCTTTCTTGTCTCTCTCTGGTCTCTCTCTGGTCTCTCTCTGGTCTCTCTCTGGTCTCTCTCTGGTCTCTCTCTTGTCTCTCTCTGGTCTCTCTCTGGTCTCTCTCTCTTGTCTCTCTCTGGTCTCTCTCTGGTTCCATCCCCTCGTCCTCTTCTCTCTGGTCTCTCTCTCTTGTCTCTCTCTGGTCTCTCTTTCTTGTCTCTCTCTGGTCTCTCTCTCTGGTCTCTCTCTGGTCTCTCTCTGGTCTCTCAGACACTGTCGCCTAAAGCAGCTCTCCAGATCCAGAAGTTTATCTCAGAGCTCCACATTAGCTTGTGCCGTTCCCTCCAGTCACGATAGCGGTGGAGTTAGCTCATCTTCTAATGTGGAACAGGGGTTTTCCTGCTACTCTTGCATCTACAGCTGGGTTAGCGTTAGCAGCGGTGGCACCAGATGTGACCTCCTCCTCCCCTTCCCCACAGGCCTCACTTCGTTCACTCTCATCAGCTTCAGTTTGTGTTTGTTTTGCCGATAAACTCAGATCAAATAGATCTGAGCCACAACCAGGTGTTTCAGTGTTAGCAGCAAAGAGTGACAGGCTGTAGACCCTAAACCTGGGTCTACAGCCTCAGTCCTGGGTCTGCAGCCTCAGTCCTGGGTCTACAGCCTCAGTCTTGGGTCTACAGTCTCAATCCTGGGTCTACAGTCTCAGTCCTGGGTCTACAGTCTCAGTCCTGGGTCTACAGTCTCAGTCCTGGGTCTACAGTCTCAGTCCTGGGTCTACAGTCTCAGTCCTGGGTCTACAGTCTCTGTCCTGGGTCTACAGTCTCAGTCCTGGGTCTACAGTCTCAGTCCTGGATCTACAGTCTCAGTCCTGGGTCTACAGTCTCTGTCCTGGGTCTACAGTCTCAGTCCTGGGTCTACAGTCTCAGTCCTGGGTCTACAGTCTCAGTCCTGGATCTACAGTCTCAGTCCTGGGTCTACAGTCTCTGTCCTGGGTCTACAGTCTCAATCCTGGGTCTACAGTCTCAGTCCTGGGTCTACAGTCTCAGTCCTGGGTCTACAGTCTCAGTCCTGGATCTACAGTCTCAGTCCTGGGTCTACAGTCTCAGTCCTGGATCTACAGTCTCAGTCCTGGGTCTACAGTCTCAGTCCTGGGTCTACAGTCTCAGTCCTGGATCTACAGTCTCAGTCCTGGGTCTACAGTCTCTGTCCTGGGTCTACAGTCTCAGTCCTGGATCTACAGTCTCAGTCCTGGGTCTACAGTCTCAGTCCTGGATCTACAGTCTCAGTCCTGGGTCTACAGTCTCAGTCCTGGATCTACAGTCTCAGTCCTGGGTCTACAGTCTCTGTCCTGGGTCTACAGTCTCAGTCCTGGATCTACAGTCTCAGTCCTGGGTCTACAGTCTCAGTCCTGGGTCTACAGTCTCAGTCCTGGGTCTACAGTCTCAGTCCTGGATCTACAGTCTCAGTCCTGGGTCTACAGTCTCTGTCCTGGGTCTACAGTCTCAGTCCTGGATCTACAGTCTCAGTCCTGGGTCTACAGTCTCTGTCCTGGGTCTACAGTCTCAGTCCTGGATCTACAGTCTCAGTCCTGGGTCTACAGTCTCAGTCCTGGATCTACAGTCTCAGTCCTGGGTCTACAGTCTCAGTCCTGGGTCTACAGTCTCAGTCCTGGGTCTACAGTCTCAGTCCTGGGTCTACAGTCTCAGTCCTGAATCTACAGTCTCAGTCCTGGGTCTACAGCCCCAGTCCTGGATCTAAAGTCTCAGTCCTGGGTCTACAGCCTCAGTCCTGGGTCTACAGCCTCAGTCCTGGGTCTACAGCCTCAGTCCTGGGTCTACAGCCTCAGTCCTGGGTCTTCAGCCTCAGTCCTGGGTCTTCAGCCTCAGTCCTGGGTCTTCAGCCTCAGTCCTGGGTCTTTAGCCTCAGTCCTGGGTCTTTAGCCTCAGTCCTGGGTCTTCAGCCTCAGTCCTGGGTCTTCAGCCTCAGTCCTGGGTCTTCAGCCTCAGTCCTGGGTCTACAGCCTGTCCATTCGTGGGAGTAGAGCCATCTCTCAATAGAGGCCTCCCCAGGGTTTCTCACTATTTTCCCACTGTTGTTTTATTCGTTCATTGTCGATGCAGGAGGATCTAAGGACAGTTTCTCTTTCTAGTCCCTCTGGTCTCTCTCTGGTCTCTCTCTCTCTGGTCTCTCTCTCTCTGGTCACTCTCTCTGGTCTCTCTCTGGTCACTCTCTGGTCTCTCTCTCTGGTCTCTCTCTCTCTGGTCTCTCTCTCTGGTCTCTCTCTCTCTGGTCTCTCTCTTTGGTCTTTCTCTCTGATATCTCTCTCTCTCTGATCTCTTTATTCGACTTAGATCCAAAAGGAAAGAACAGTCCTAGCTCTAGAACTAAAACATATATTTATGTATCAATACTATTATTATTAATATTATTATGATTAATATTCACCAGACGTTACATTAAAAAACTTGCACAGGATCTCAAACCACTTCTACACTTTTACATAATTCTCCACCAGCCTCACCCCTCGCTCCTCACCCCTCGCTCCTCACCCCTCCCTCCTCACCCCTCCCTCCTCACCCCTCGCTCTCCCCCCCCCCTCGCTCCTCACCCCTCCCTCCTCACCCCTCGCTCCTCACCCCTCCCTCCTCACCCCTCGCTCCTCACCCCTCCCTCCTCACCCCTCGCTCCTCACCCCTCCCTTCTCACCCCTCGCTCCTCACCCCTCGCACCTCACCCCTCGCTCCTCACCCCTCGCTCCTCACCCCTCCCTCCTCACCCCTCGCTCCTCACCCCTCGCTCCTCACCCCTCCCTCCTCACCCCTCGCTCCTCACCCCTCCCTTCTCACCCCTCGCTCCTCACCCCTCCCTTCTCACCCCTCCCTTCTCACCCCTCGCTCCTCACCCCTCGCACCTCACCCCTCGCTCCTCACCCCTCGCTCCTCACCCCTCCCTTCTCACCCCTCGCTCCTCACCCCTCGCACCTCACCCCTCCCTCCTCACCCCTCGCTCCTCACCCCTCCCTCCTCACCCCTCGCTCCTCACCCCTCGCTCCTCACCCCTCGCTCCTCACCCCTCCCTTCTCACCCCTCGCTCCTCACCCCTCGCTCCTCACCCCTCCCTCCTCACCCCTCGCTCCTCACCCCTCCCTCCTCACCCCTCGCTCCTCACCCCTCCCTCCTCACCCCTCGCTCCTCACCCCTCGCACCTCACCCCTCGCTCCTCACTCCTCCCTCCTCACCCCTCGCTCCTCACCCCTCGCTCCTCACCCCTCCCTCCTCACCCCTCGCTCCTCACCCCTCCCTTCTCACCCCTCGCTCCTCACCCCTCGCTCCTCACCCCTCCCTTCTCACCCCTCGCTCCTCACCCCTCCCTTCTCACCCCTCGCTCCTCACCCCTCCCTTCTCACCCCTCGCTCCTCACCCCTCCCTTCTCACCCCTCGCTCCTCCTCACCCCTCGCTCCTCACCCCTCCCTTCTCACCCCTCCCTCCTCACCCCTCGCTCCTCACCCCTCGCTCCTCACCCCTCCCTCCTCACCCCTCGCTCCTCACCCCTCCCTTCTCACCCCTCGCTCCTCACCCCTCCCTTCTCACCCCTCCCTTCTCACCCCTCGCTCCTCACCCCTCGCACCTCACCCCTCGCTCCTCACCCCTCGCTCCTCACCCCTCCCTTCTCACCCCTCGCTCCTCACCCCTCGCACCTCACCCCTCCCTCCTCACCCCTCGCTCCTCACCCCTCCCTCCTCATCCCTCGCTCCTCTCACCCCTCGCTCCTCACCCCTCGCTCCTCACCCCTCCCTTCTCACCCCTCGCTCCTCACCCCTCGCTCCTCACCCCTCCCTCCCCTCCTCACCCCTCGCTCCTCACCCCTCCCTCCTCACCCCTCGCTCCTCACCCCTCCCTCCTCACCCCTCGCTCCTCACCCCTCGCACCTCACCCCTCGCTCCTCACTCCTCCCTCCTCACCCCTCGCTCCTCACCCCTCGCTCCTCACCCCTCCCTCCTCACCCCTCGCTCCTCACCCCTCCCTTCTCACCCCTCGCTCCTCACCCCTCGCTCCTCACCCCTCCCTTCTCACCCCTCGCTCCTCACCCCTCCCTTCTCACCCCTCGCTCCTCACCCTTCCCTTCTCACCCCTCGCTCCTCACCCCTCCCTTCTCACCCCTCGCTCCTCACCCCTCGCTCCTCACCCCTCCCTTCTCACCCCTCGCTCCTCACCCCTCGCACCTCACCCCTCCCTCCTCACCCCTCGCTCCTCACCCCCCTCCCTTCTCACCCCTCGATCCTCACCCCTCGCTCCTCACCCCTCCCTTCTCACCCCTCGCTCCTCACCCCTCGCTCCTCACCCCTCGCTCCTCACCCCTCGCTCCTCACCCCCTCGCTCCTCACCCCTCGCTCCTCACCCCTCGCTCCTCACCCCTCGCTCCTCACCCCTCCCTCCTCACCCCTCGCTCCCTGCTCCTTCAGGTTGTCTCGCTGTTGTTGCTGAGGTGAGGTGTTTGAAACCCAGAATAAGATGCCTCCTCATCAGTTTAGTGCGGGGTCAGGCCCTGGCAGCGAGAGAGAGAGAGAGAGAGAGAGAGAGAGAGACCAGAGAGAGAGAGAGAGCCTTGTAAACACTGAACACATCTCTGGCAGCACATTTCATCCCGAGAAGCCAACTTTAGTAAACAGGCAGAACTAATGAGGACAGTGAACACACACACACACACACACACACACACACAACAACAACACACACACACACACACACAACAACACCCGCCCAGGGGCCCGGGGCCAGAGCAGCCCAGATACCTGATGGGGAGCAGGGACATCAAAGCTGGAGGATTAGAGAGAAGAGAGAGGAGAGAGTGCCGCGGGGAGGAAATGCTAACTTATTATCCGCTTCCCAGCTAATCCTGTTATCTACAGAATATAGCTGTGTTTAACCCCCCCACGCACACACACACACACACACACACACACACGGGGGGAGAGTTGGGGTGAGGTGGGGGAGAAACACTGGCCCCTGGACCCAAAACCAGAACCGTCTTGGACCAGATGGCAGGGTGTCCCGAGTTCAGGGCGATGGTTCAAGACCAGCCACATCTGCAAGAGACGAAACTTAAGGAATGGTCTCTCACCCTACGGTCTCTCACCCTACGGTCTCTCACCCTACGGTCTCTCACCCTACTGTCTCTCACACTACTGTCTCTCACACTACTGTCTCTCACCCTACTGTCTCTCACCTATTGTCTCTCACCCTACTGTCTCTCACACTACTGTCTCTCACACTACTGTCTCTCACCCTACGGTCTCTCACCCTACGGTCTCTCACCCTACTGTCTCTCACCCTACTGTCTCTCACCCTACGGTCTCTCACCCTACTGTCTCTCACCCTACGGTCTCTCACCCTACTGTCTCTCACTCTACTGTCTCTCACTCTACTGTCTCTCACCCTACTGTCTCTCACTCTACTGTCTCTCACCCTACTGTCTCTCACACGACTGTCTCTCACCCTACTGTCTCTCACTCTACTGTCTCTCACCCTACTGTCTCTCACACGACTGTCTCTCACGCTACTGTCTCTCACACTACGGTCTCTCACACTACGGTCTCTCACCCTACAATACAATACAATACAATACAATACAATTTATTCTTGTATAGCCCTAGGTCACAACAGAAGTCATCTCAGAGGACTTAACAAAACCATTGAAATCACCAACACAGGTCAGAGAATCAACAGTTAAAACACATGGAGAATATAAAGCACACACAGAAGAAAATGTCCATACATGTTGTAGAATGCTAAAGTGTCCTGATCATCACCAATCCTTTCTGTTGGACACTAACTGTCCAACAAGACCCTCCTGCATCGACAAGGAAAAACTCTTAAAAAACCCAGTGGGAAAAAGTGAGAAACCTTGGGGAGAACTAGGGAAACCCACAGGGAGGGAGACCCATATGAGAAAGGGATCCGCTCCTCCGGACGGACAGGCTAATGACCCAGGACCTAAGCTAGCTACAGGACGTGGACCAGTGGACGCTGAACGTGGACAGGTCCGGTGCAGGACTGAAGCACTCCCAGGCGGGTCGGGCGGGGCAGTCCGCAGGTGTAGATGGAAGAGGCCAGGCTCAGAGATCCCGTCATCGTACCATGAAACAGACAATGGGACAACAGGTGAATAGCAATGAACAAACTACAGTCAGAATCCTAAAAATGCTAAACAGATAAAGTAGGAAGGAGGAGAGGATAGTGCTCAAGTTACCATACTTCTCCCAGCAAACTGACTCCCTATGCAGCTTGACTGACAGTCTGAGGAGTTTAACCTTCTCCGAGTCTTACCTTCCTAGCCATATGCTAAACTAAAGAGGACTGTTTTAAACCTAGCCTTGAATAAAGAATAACATACAGCATAATATATAACATAATATACAACATAACACAATACATTATTGAATAATATATAACATAATATATAACATAATACAGCATATATATATAATATATACACTACATATTATATATTACCTAATTATATGCTAAATTAAAGTAAAGTGCTTTAAGCCTGGCCTTGAATGTGGAGACCGTATCTGCTTCCTTAACATAAATGGGAAGCTGATTCCACAGTAAAGGAGCTTGGTAGCTAAATGCTCTGCCACCAACAGTGACCTTTGAGACCTTAGGGACCACCAGACGTCTGGCGTTTTGTGAGCGCAACGCTCGACCTGGTTGATACGACACTAACGTGTCTTGGAGATAAGAGGGAGCCAAGCCATTTATGGCTTTATATGTTAAGAGTAGGATTTTAAACTTTATTCTGTACTCCACAGGGAGCCAGTGGAGTGATTTTAACACCGGAGTTATGTGCTCCCTCCTTTTGGTACCTGTTAAGATCCTAGCTGCTGTATTCTGAACGAGCTGGAAGCTCTTCAAAGAGGCTTTAGGGCACGCTGCCAGTAAAGTGTTACAGTAGTCGAGCCTTGAGGTGACAAACGCGTGAATGAGTTTTTCCGCGTCACTTTTAGGAAGGAAATTCCTAATTTTAGCGATGTTCCGTAAGTGGAAGTACGCCGTTTTAGTTGCTTGGCTTATATAAGCCTTGAAGGAGAGTTCTTGGTCAAAAATGACTCCAAGATTCCTCACAGTGTTACTGGGTATTATACTGACATTATCGAGAGTAACCATCTGGTTAGTGAGGGAGTCACGCAGGCGCTTTGGACCGAGTAGGATCACTTCTGTCTTCTCCGGGTTGAGAAGTAGGAAGTTAAGAGTCATCCACATTTTAAGGTCCTTTATGCAGGCACTGAGCTTTTCTAGCTGATCTGTCTGATTAGGCTTCATCGACAGATAAAGCTGTGTGTCATCTGCATAGCAGTGGAAATTAATTCCATGCTTTTTAATAATGTTTCCCAGTGGCAGCATGTAGAGAGTAAAAAGAATCGGTCCGAGTACCGAACCCTGCGGCACACCGAATTCCACTCCAGAATAAGGCGACGAGTCCTGATTCACATTGACGAAGTGATATCGATCTGATAAATAGGATTTAAACCAGCCAAGGGCTGTTCCTCTAAGACCTATATCACATTCTAGCCTCTGCAGTAGAATGCTGTGGTCTATTGTGTCAAATGCAGCACTAAGGTCCAGTAGGACCAGCACTGACACTTGTCCATTATCGGCAGCTAGTAGTAAGTCATTTGTGACTTTGACTAGTGCCGTTTCAGTCTAATGATGAGCTCTGAATCCTGATTGAAAGACTTCAAACATATCATTTTCCTGCAGGTGGCAGCGGAGCTGCTCAGCTATAAGTTTTTCCAGGATTTTAGATATAAAAGTGAGGTTTGAGATCGGTCTGTAGTTTGTAAGTATTTCTGGGTCCAGGTTTGTTTTCTTCAGAAGGGGTTTGATTACCGCGGTTTTAAAAGCTTGTGGGACATAGCCACATTGTATGGATGCGTTTATTATATTTACGATAGGCTCAATTATCAAAGGAAGTATGTCTTTGAAGAGCCATGTCGGGACTGCGTCTAACATGCAAGTTGAGGCTTTTGAGGATGTGACCACAGAGATCACCTCTGCTTGGCTCACAGCCATGAATTTATTAAGGCCCACTGAAGAGTCTAAGTGGGAAGTCACGTATGCCGCTTCAACCTGTCCACCACTAACAGCAGGAGTAACCTCCTCCAGCTTGTCACGGATGGATGTAATTTTATTATTAAAGAAGTGGAGAAAGTCGACACTGCTCAGTGAGCTTGGAATTTTAGGCTCGATTGCGCTATGGCAGTTTGTGAGTTTAGCGACGGTACCAAACAAAAATCTACTGTTGTTTTTATTCGCTTCTATTAAAGTTGAATAGTATTGAGTTCGAGCCCCGCGAAGGGCATTCTTGTAGTTTCGGAGACCTGCTTTCCACTCCCTGTGGACAGGCTCCGAGTGGGAGTGGCGATATAGCCTCTCCAATTTTCTGACGTCCTGTTTTAAAGTGTGGAGTTGAACACTGTACCAGGGCGACGATGATCTAATCCTAATAGTTTTCTGTTTTAAAGGAGCTGCTGCATTTAATGCAGATTTTAAAGACTCCATAGTGTTGCCCACCGTTTGGTCAATGACTGAGGGACTGCAGCTGCTGTGAACAGGTTCACCTGCAGCAGTATTCAACATAGGCTGTATTAGTTCTTTGAACCTTGTGATAGATTTATCATTTAAGGTTCTTTTCATTATGGTTTTATCTTGCGGGACAGGAAAGTCCTCCAAAGCGAGATCAAACGTGATCAAGAAATGGTCAGACAGCAACGAGCTTTGACGCTGGATGTCAACATTGGAGACATCACAGCCGTAGGTCAGGACAAGGTCCAAGGTGTGGTTATGAATGTGAGTAGGTTCCTCGACATTCTGAGTAAAACCAACACCATCTAGTACGGCGCTGAAAGCTTTGTTTAAGCTGTCAGTGCTGTCGTCCACATGTATATTGAAGTCTCCAGTTATAACTATGTTTTCCCATTCCAAAACTAGGTTTGAAATGAAGTCAGAGAATTCTGTTAGGAACTCGCTGTAAGGACCAGGAGGTCGGTATAAAACTATAAATAGCACTGCTTTTTGTTTTCTCCACCCAGGACAGGTGATTGAAAGTGTTAAGTTTTCAAACGAGTGAAAAGCGTTGTTGGTTTTGGGACTAAGAACCAAGTTGGTGTGTGATATAATCGCAACACCACCGCCGTGACCTGTAGCTCTGGCTTTCTGGTAGTTAACATGCGTCGGAGGAGTGCACTCATTCAATCTAACGTAGTCGTCCTGTTGGAGCCAAGTCTCCGAGAGCGCAAACAGATCCAAGCCCTTGTCTATAATAAGTTCGTTTATGAGAAGCGATTTAGACGAGATTGATCTGACGTTCATTAAACCACATTTAACAACCCTACCGCTAGAACTATTTCTGTCTGTCTGAACTTTTATTAAGTTACTGTGTCTGACACCTAGGTCAGATTTCCTCGCATATAGTGCTTTAGACTTCAAGCGGGGAACACACACAGTTTCAATCTGACTAGCTTCTGAGGCTAGTAACTGAGCACGCACAGGCACACACACACATGCACACACAGTTTCAATCTGACTAGCCTCTGAGGCTAGTAACTGAACAGATGGGGGCTCAGAGGTTGTGGCAGAGCAGCTCTGCACCCGGGCCTCAGTTCTGCACCGTCATTTGAGCCGAGCAGAACAGTTTAGAGCCAGGGCCAAATTCTTAGCCAAAAGGGATGTACCCGCCAACGTTGGGTGGATATCATCCGAGCGGATGAGACCGGGCTTTCCCCAAAAGGCACTCCAATTGTCAACATGAACAACACCACTTCGAGGGCACCAGCCAGACAGCCAGCGGTTGAAAGCCGAGTGTCTGCTGAATGCTTCTGCACTGCTAGTGCTAGGTAGGGGCCCAGAGAAGATGACAGTGTCGGCCATTGTGCTAGCCAGCTTGCACACCGCGGCGACTTGCAGCTTCAACACCTCGGACTGTTTCCGCCGAACGTCATTACCACCCGCGTGAATAACAATTTGACGGAAACGCTGCTTGTGCTGCACCCTACTGTCTCTCACCCTACTGTCTCTCACTCTACTGTCTCTCACCCTACTGTCTCTCACCCTACGGTGTCTCACCCTACTGTCTCTCACCCTACTGTCTCTCACCCTACGGTCTCTCACACTACTGTCTCTCACCCTACGGTCTCTCACACTACTGTCTCTCACCCTACTGTCTCTCACCCTACTGTCTCTCACACTACGGTCTCTCACACTACTGTCTCTCACCCTACGGTCTCTCACCCTACTGTCTCTCACACTACTGTCTCTCACCCTAAGGTCTCTCACCCTACTGTCTCTCACCCTACGGTCTCTCACCCTACTGTTTCTCACCCTACGGTCTCTCACCTTACTGTCTCTCACCCTACTGTCTCTCACACTACTGTCTCTCACCCTAAGGTCTCTCACCCTAAAGTCTCTCACCCTACTGTCTCTCACACTACTGTCTCTCACCCTAAAGTCTCTCACCCTACTGTCTCTCACACTGTCTCTCACCCTACGGTCTCTCACCCTACTGTCTCTCACACTACTGTCTCTCACACTGCAGTCTCTCACCCTACGGTCTCTCACCCTACAGTCTCTCACACTACTGTCTCTCACCCTAAGGTCTCTCACCCTAAGGTCTCTCACCCTACTGTCTCTCACTCTACTGTCTCTCACCCTACGGTCTCTCACCCTACGGTCTCTCACCCTACGGTCTCTCACCCTACTGTCTCTCACCCTACAGTCTCTCACCCTACGGTCTCTCACCCTACTGTCTCTCACCCTACAGTCTCTCACCCTACGGTCTCTCACTCTACAGTCTCTCACTCTACTGTCTCTCACACTACACAGTAATAAATGAATTAGACCAAACTTAGATGTAAAGTATTTTAAGTTATTACTATATACTTCATTTATCACTCTTTTATATTTTTGGTTGACAAATAAGTACTGTATAATATTATCATAGCTCCCTGTACAATACTGATTTTATTGCTTTAAGTGAAAATACTTTAAGTATTTCTTTTGTAAGCCTGGGGTCCATTAATGACAACACAAATATATTGTGTTGATTGAAAACAAAATGTGGCGAAGCAGTGACGCTACCCAGAATGCATTGCAGAGAAAAATATAAACATCTTAAAAATTCTCCATTTGAGCATTAATTGTGAGAGGGAATATAAAGCAAGTCCTAAAGCAAAATACTTGAGCAACATTCTAAATAAACTAATTATACCTAATAAGTAATTGTATTTATTGTTACCAACCATGATGGAGACGGCCACAGCAGCCCTACAGTGCCTGGGTTATCTTACTATGTTGATCTGACACCAAGCTCAACCAAGCTCTGATTAAACTATGAGTGTCATTACTCTTCCCCAAGAGAGTTTCAGAGTTCAGGACCTTACTATAAAGTCATTAAAAGATCTGACAAGTGTCCTCCAGGTGGAAGTTAAAGTTACTTTGAATGAACACAAAAATATTAAGTAAATTGGTCACCTAGGAGTTATGGTATTGCTTTGAAAAGACACACAAATATTAAGTAAATGAATTATCTCCAAGTTAGTTTTGCTTTTAATGGACACAAAAATATTAAGTAAATTGATCACTTCAAAGTAATAATTTTACATTCTGTCGATTTGAATTTAATATTCTTTATTACTTAACAAAGAGCTGAAGTTGACAGTATTCAAAAAGGCAGATGGAACCTATTACGGTATTTTTTTGTTTCTGATTAAAGCAACACTTTTTACAGTGTACGGTCTCTCACCCTATTGTCTCTCACCCTACGGTCTCTCACCCTACTGTCTCTCACACTACTGTCTCTCACCCTACGGTCTCTCACACTACTGTCTCTCACCCTACGGTCTCTCACACTACTGTCTCTCACACTACGGTCTCTCACACTACTGTCTCTCACACTACGGTCTCTCACACTACTGTCTCTCACCCTACGGTCTCTCACACTACGGTCTCTCACACTACTGTCTCTCACACTACTGTCTCTCACCCTACGGTCTCTCACCCTACGGTCTCTCACACTACTGTCTCTCACACTACTGTCTCTCACCCTACTGTCTCTCACCCTACGGTCTCTCACACTACTGTCTCTCACCCTACTGTCTCTCACACTACTGTCTCACCCCGCGATCTCTCACCCTATACTATCTCACACTACTGTCTCTCACTCTACGGTCTCTCACCCTATTGTCTCTCACCCTACGGTCTCTCACCCTACTGTCTCTCACACTACTGTCTCTCACACTACTGTCTCTCACCCTACGGTCTCTCACACTACTGTCTCTCACACTACTGTCTCTCACCCTACGGTCTCTCACACTACTGTCTCTCACCCTACTGTCTCTCACCCTACGGTCTCTCACACTACTGTCTCTCACCCTACTGTCTCTCACACTACTGTCTCTCACCCTACGGTCTCTCACACTACTGTCTCTCACCCGACAGTCTCTCACCCTACTGTCTATCACACTACGGTCTCTCACCCTACTGACTCTCACCCTACTGTCTCTCACACTACTGTCTCACCCCGCGATCTCTCACCCTATACTATCTCACACTACTGTCTCTCACTCTACGGTCTCTCACACTACTGTCTCTCACCCTACTGTCTCTCACACTACTGTCTCACCCCGCGATCTCTCACCCTATACTATCTCACACTACTGTCTCTCACTCTACGGTCTCTCACCCTATTGTCTCTCACCCTACGGTCTCTCACCCTACTGTCTCTCACACTACTGTCTCTCACACTACTGTCTCTCACCCTACGGTCTCTCACACTACTGTCTCTCACACTACTGTCTCTCACCCTACGGTCTCTCACACTACTGTCTCTCACCCTACTGTCTCTCACCCTACGGTCTCTCACACTACTGTCTCTCACCCTACTGTCTCTCACACTACTGTCTCTCACCCTACGGTCTCTCACACTACTGTCTCTCACCCGACAGTCTCTCACCCTACTGTCTATCACACTACGGTCTCTCACCCTACTGACTCTCACCCATACTGTCTCTCACCCTACTGACTCTCACCCTACAGTCTCTAACTCTCCCCCTCTGCTCTCTCTCTGGTCTCTCTCTCAGAAATGTGTCCCTCTCTGGTTTCTCTTTCTGGTTTCTCTCTGGTCTCTCTCTCGATGGTTTCTCTCTCTGATCTCTCTCTGGTCTCTTGCTGGTTTCTCTCTCTGATCTCTCTCTCAGTAACTAGTCCCCTATGGTCTCTGGCTCTCTCCCTCATGGTCTCTCTCAGTAACTATAGTCCCTATGGTCTCTCTCTCTCTCCCTCATGGTCCCTCTCTGGTCTTCCCCTGGTCTCTGCTGGTCACACATCTGGAGGCCTTCTAAACAAACCATGAAGCTTAATGACACCAGTCTCTTTGAGCACACTCCTTCTCTCCATAATTAGCTGCTCGTCCTCTCTGACCGCAGACACCTGTGTAATCATGAACAGAGACCACAACGAGACCGCAGCGGGACCGCAGCGAGACCGCAGGAGCCAGGTTGAAAGCCTGGTCCCTCGCAGACACTGTTCTGAAGAGAATCTGCGGTGAATATATCGCTCACTCGTTCACTGGGACATGAAGTGAAATTGTCATTAGGCTAATCAGCACTAAACTAATTGGGAGTCATGGACCCTCCCTATCTGCTAATGCTAACCCTAAACCCCAGCTCATATCTGGAAGGAGAAGAAGAGAAGAGAAGGGGTGGAAAAGCAAAAAGAGAGAGAGAGAGAGAGAGAGAGAGAGAGATGCGGCCTAATTAAGAGTGTTGGGATTTATGCAAATGTGGTGATATGGTAATGGAAGCCTGCAGGCCGGAGCTGGCTGTGTGCACCGAGAGAGAGGGGTGAGGGAGGGGTGAGGGAGGGGTGAGCGAGGGGTGAGGGAGGGGTGAGGGAGGGTGAGAGAGGGTGAGGGAGGGAGGGTGACAGCTGAGAGGAAGGTCACAGCCAATCACCATCTGACTCTGTGCACACTGCCCTCTGGCCACTCTCTCTCTCTCTGTTTGTCTGCCTGTCCTGGACTCTCTCTCTGTCTCTCTCTCTCTCTCTCTGTCTCTCTCTCTCTGTCTCTGTCTCTCTCTCTCTCTGTCTCTCTCTCTCTGTTTGTCTGCCTGTCCTGGACTCTCTCTCTGTCTCTCTCTCTCTCTCTCTGTCTCTCTCTCTCTGTCTCTGTCTCTCTCTCTCTCTGTCTCTCTCTCTCTGTTTGTCTGCCTGTCCTGGACTCTCTCTCTGTCTCTCTCTCTGTCTCTCTCTCTGTCTCTCTCTCTCTGTCTCTCTCTCTCTGTTTGTCTGCCTGTCCTGGACTCTCTCTCTGTCTCTCTCTCTGTCTCTCTCTCTCTGTCTCTGTCTCTCTCTCTCTGTCTCTCTCTCTCTGTTTGTCTGCCTGTCCTAGACTCTCTCTCTGTCTCTCTCTGTTTGTCTGCCTGTCCTGGATTCTCTCTCTGCTCTCTCTCTCTGTCTCTCTCTCTCTGTTTGTCTGCCTGTCCGAGTCCCTCTCTCTCTCTCTCTCTCTCTCTCGGTCCTGGAGAACACCCAACGAGGCCCTGTTCATTAAAAGATATTTATTTATAATCTGTGCATCAGATTTAGACTTTTCTAACATCATCATCGTCGGTTTAAAATCTAAAATCCATGTTTGTCCCAAAGGTTGTAATTATTGTATATTTTTGAATAATTGTTTAAAATTTTCATAATTTTCATTGTGTCATTTTTTAATCCTTCAAACTGTATTTCTGTTTTTTGTTAGTTTGACGCTGTACGGATAATATAGGTTTTAATTCTTGGTTACCATGGCAACAGTGTGTTACCGAGGCTGCATTCAGAACTTTATATTCATGAAGTTACAGCCAGAGGTTACACACTTCTGTTCCACCGTCGACAAAACCACACAACATTTTTTATACATGAACAATTCATTGTCCAAACACACAAAGCATCACACAGATCTCTCTCTCTCTCTCTCCCTACTCTCTCACTGGTGTCTCTCGCTCTCTCTGGCCTCTCTCTCTCTCTGGTCTCTCTCTCTCTCTGGTCTCTCTCTCTCTCTCTCCCTGCTCTCTCTCTGGACTCTCTCTCTCTCTGGTCTCTCTCTCTCTCTCCCTGCCTCTCTCTGGTCTCTCTCTCCCTGCTCTCTCTCTGGTCTCTCTCTCTCCCTGCTCTCTCTATGGTCTCTCTCTCTCTCTCCCTGCCTCTCTCTGGTCTCTCTCTCTCCCTGCTCTCTCTATGGTCTCTCTCTCTCTCTCCCTGCCTCTCTCTGGTCTCTCTCTCCCTGCTCTCTCTCTGGTCTCTCTCTCTCCCTGCTCTCTCTATGGTCTCTCTCTCTCTCTCCCTGCCTCTCTCTGGTCTCTCTCTCCCTGCTCTCTCTCTCTCTGCTCTCTCTCTCCTTGGCCTCTCTCCCTCCCTGCTCTCTCTCTCTCTGGTCTCTCTCGCTCCCTGCTCTCTCTCTGGTTCCTAACAAACTTTGATCCATATGAAGTTACAGCCAGAGGTAACTTTTTTCCCATCGTCAACAAAACCACACAATATTTTGTATACATGAAAAATTCCTTGTCCAAACACACAAAGCATCACACAGATCTCTCTCTGTCTCTCTCTCTGTTTTTTTCTGCTCTCTCTCTCTCTCTCTGCTCTCTCTCTCTCTCTCTGCTCTCTCTCTCTCTCTCTGGTCTCTCTCTGGCCTCTCTCTGGCATCTTTCTGCTCTCTCTCTTTCTCTCTCCTAGCTCTCTCTCTGCTCTCTCTCTCTCCCTGCTCTCTCTCTGCGTTCTTTCTCTCTCCCTGCTCTCTCTCTCTCTGCACTCTCTCTCTCCTAGCTCTCTCTCTGCTCTCTTTCTCTCTCCCTGCTCTCTCTCTGCTCTCTCTCTGCTCTCTCTCTCCCTGCCCTCTCTCTGCTCTCTCTCTCTCTGCACTCTCTCTGCGCTCTTTCTCTCTCCCTTCTCTCTCTCTGCTCTCTCTCTCCCTGCTCTCTCTCTGCTCTCTCTCTCCCTGCCCTCTCTCTGCTCTCTCTCTCTCTGCACTCTCTCTGCGCTCTTTCTCTCTCCCTGCTCTCTCTCTGCTCTCTCTGCTCTCTTTCTCTCTCTCTGCTCTCTCTCTCCCTGCTCTCTCTCTGCTCTCTCTCTCTCCCTGTTCTCTCTCTCTCCCTGCTCTCTCTCTCTCTGCTCTCTCTCTCCCTGCTCTCTCTCTGCTCTCTCTCTCTCCCTGCTCTCTCTCTCTCCCTGCTCTCTCTCTCTTTCTTCTCTCTGACAAACTTGAATCCATTTTCACGTGGGAAGTTACAGCCAGAGGTTACACACTTTTAGTTGATTTTTCTTTCTCTTTCTTTTCCGTCGACAAAACCACACAATATTTCTTATACATGAACAATTCCTTGTCCAAACACACATCTCCAGAATCACGCAGACCTCACACAGAGAT